TCGAGGATGATACCGAGCAAATAGCTGCAAACTTTGTATTGTAACGAAGTATGTATTGTAAAAGTGTGTGAATTTATACTATAAGTCGGGGCTGTGAACAATGTTTCGTTCGAAAATTGTTTTAATTCCTCCGATCGGAGGTCCCTCAGGGGCTCGCTTACGGGTGGGGCCCGTGGGCGAGTACGGGGGGTAGCGTCCCCGAGGAACCCGAGGCGCTTGTACTCGTGTGCTGGTCTTAGGTTTTCTATTTCGACTTATATTCTGACTAACTTGAATTCAATGGTTTCAGGTTTATTACAGATATTATCATCCGCCGTGGGATGCGTCGTAGGTTCCATATTTTCGCCAAAATTGTCCAAACTTTCCATAATTTCGTTTCCTCCATTTTTCCAAAAATTGCACTCGTGTGCGGGTTAGCTTGGCACTCGTGTGCTGGTCTTAGGTTTCCTATTTCGACTTGTCACCTATTTTGTATTCATACTAACTAGAATTCAATCTTTTCAGGTTCATTACAGATGTTATCATCTACCGAGGGATTATCAACCGCCGAGGGATGCGTCTTATTTAATAAGTGCGTGCGACTTAGTTTAAGATTCTTAACCTCTTGCCTTACTTTAACGGGTCTAGCTTTTTTAATAAACATTTTTCTTAAGAATGAACATTATTTTATTCCTTCAAGTCCGTCTAAGTTTCTCTTCTTTTCACTACAATATTTGCTCGTTCAAAGAAGTGTATCTCACAATAAACTCAAATTTTCTTCTCCTTCTGAGAAATAATTACAATCGGGAAACTTCTAGTCATCATAAATTTAGAGAGCATGGTACGGCAAGGGGTTAAGTTCCCTCAGGGGCCCTCGACCCACGGGAGTGCCCGTGGGGAGCACGGGGGGTAGCGTCCCCGAGGTACCCGAGTCGCTAATTTCGCATATGTCGAGTATTATTGCCTTAGCTTTATCTTTTCGCGTTTCGCTTTTGACGACACGTCGCTTTTCCGACACAGCCATCTGCTGTGGCGGCCTTGTTTGCGCAATCTCTTGGGTAAGTCCGAACACTTCTCGATGTTCGGCGAGTGATCATGCGGCGTGAAGGCTCTTCCCTGGTCGCTGTTCGGCCAGTAATCCGCCCTTAGCTCTCTTTTGGGGGCGGGGTGTTGGGCGAGAAATGGTCACACAGGTTTACCTGTGTAGGCTCCCGCCTAGTGCCGATTCAGACGGGTAAGGCGGCCTAACTTAGTTTTAGGTCGCAGGGCGAGAAATGGCATCCCAATGTGTGGGAGGATCCAACTTTGGATCATCGCTCCTCATGTGATCGCGCCGGATATCTAGATTTGCGAGGCTCCGATCCTGTACGAGCATTGTACGCGTCGCGTCACCCTCGAGTCAGTGCCTTCTGCCCTGACTCGCATTTGTTTCTCACTTTGAAAGAATCACTGCCATCTGCACTGATTCATTTTGGTCCCCGTGGATCGGAGACTTCTTCTTTGATCCACTTTGGTCCGCGATAGTACTTGACATATGCGAACGAGTGAGTGTGTGGGAATGTGTGATAGCTAGCTAGCGAGCGTATTAGTTTATAAGTCGTCGTTGTTAGAAAGGGAGCCATAGCGAATTCCGGTTTCGTTCTGACTCCCTTTCGGGTCTCTAAAGCAGCAACCTCCTCGCGGTGAGACCCGGGCAATCGGTATCATCCTCGGTTCAGAAAGTCTTGCGAATTGCAACGAATTTCTGGGTCGAGCATGATACCGAGCAAATAGCTGCAAATTTTGTATTGTAAAATAGTGTGTATTGTAAAAGGGTGTAGATGTAGAGCATTTATACTAAATATATACTCCAGGCATATACTTTTCTCTGATGCATTAGTATGTAGTTCACTAGTTGACCGTTCCATTTGAGTAGAGTCCGCTATCGTACAACAGCATTCTCTACAAAGTCGGTAAGAGTCGGTGAGAGTCGGTAAGAGTCGGTAATTCAAGCCCTGTGGCAGAATAAAATCATTACATGCAATGCCTGCTAAAATAAATAAGTGAGATAGAGTAAAATAACAGCAGCACAGAAATTTTGTTTCCATCCTCACAGTGTTGCTAGCTCTAAAAATGCAATGTACAATGTTGAATCGTGAGCGCTCAAGACTTCCCAGCTCGTCGAATCATCGAAGCAAAATTTGTAGCCGAATGTTCAGAAGAGATTACACAACAGAAATCGTGTCGACACGGAGATGATAACCGGGGTTTCTGAAATTCCATTTCAGGGTAATAAAAATTGACATTGGTTTGCTAGGCCTGTTCCTATACCTCGTCTGTGATGTTACGAAGATTCTTAGTAGGAATCGAGTATAAGCGTATACTTAATTTCTGTTACGCTTTATAACCAATTCTCCGCGTCGCATTCGTCGTTATCGATATGTCACAGATTTATGTTTCTTGATGAAAATTGAGCATATTGAAAAATATTACCGCATAAAATACCACGTACATATTCACTACGGAAGTAAAATTTGTTGCAGGAGTACGCATGCAATTATAATACAATTAATTATATCGTTAAAAAATGGAGTATATTGTGTAATTTTTCAAACGTTAGCAACAAAGATACACAGATGCTGCAAATTGGATAAAAATCGTATCAACTATGTATGATCATTCCAGTCGATTTGACGCGATATGGTGAAATATCAGCGATGAGTAAGAAAAATATTATCTAGTTTATACAAGGTATCTCGGGGTGGCTTATCAGATAACAGAATTTATGTTTGCAATGTTCAGAAATACGTTCTTGATGATGAAGAAATGAAATTAAAGGCGCTAAAAAATCGTTTCGATTTCGATGAAATCGCGCATCGTCGCGTACGAGAGAAATAAATGTGTTGCACGGTTCGACCGATCACACGTCATATTTTTAATTTGTTTCACGTTGAACTGTGTATTTTTCTTGGTCGACGAATATAATTCCAGCTAATGTTCTCAATGGCCACACGAACGTCCATGCTTCCGAGGCTTAATCTGATATGACAAGTGTTACCGAGAGCTCCCTTTAGTATCAGATCGAATTCGGATCAGCTGTCTTTACCGATTCTTTTCAAACTTCGCTTGTCTATCGGCATCGGCCCGAACTAGGCCGAATTATTCATTTCCTGTAATCGTATACCGTCTTCGGTGCGTGCTACGACATTGCGCGATGCGGTCGCAATTTAAGTCCAGATGATCGGTCAACCTACCGCCGCGGGAATAATCATTTTAATTGTAAGTCTTTTGCTCCATTTTTATCGGAAGTATGTCAGTGCCGATAATAGAGCTACCGACAGTTTCAAACGCATACAGAAGCTGAACATTTATTCATTTGTTTACTAGATCGAGTCCTTTAGGAACTAAAAATCCCGTGACACTTTATTGTGGAAATCAAGTTACGCTAAACAAAATTGAAGAAAAATTAAACGTATTTTCTTGTTTATACTTGTTGGAGGTTCAACGTTGAAAGTAGAGAAAAGCATTTCAATATTTATTTATTTACGCGATCCGAATTTCTGTAAGTTAAAATATATAAAATAAATAATATTTTCATTGGGGAAACTGTAGCAATTTACAATGTAAATCGAATTAAATCGCATGCAATGTATAGAAGATTTAGAAATGCAAGAAAAAACAGTAGAGGCTGAGGTTAAAATATAAATTGCATCGTTTCGCAGTATCGTCGAAAGAAAATGCCGATATATATATATAACACTTGCACCGTGCAATTTAACCATTCGAATTCGCATTCCACCAACGTGTAACGCATCGCGATGATTTTCTTGAGGTATTGCTGCTTGGATGACGAAACACGACCACAAAATAATTTAGAAAAGAACCGAACCGCCGCGCCGTCCGCTGCGGCCAGCACAGAACGAAACATCCTACAAAACCCGTTCATGATCATTATATTTTTTGTGGCATGAAAGGTCAATCTTTGCAGTACATAAAAACGGGAAGCAACGAGAATGCGTTCGATGTTCGTGGAAGAACAGCCGACGGCGTTGATTTATTTACGTCTCCAAGAGTATATCATCTACGTGGCATGCTTCAAAAACTCGCAGGAAAGAAATTTTCACGGCTTCGGATCCTCGCAATTAACGATTTCCGTGCGGCTTCTTCTTTCGCATTAAAGCCGTAACAATTTCGAAATCATCGTGCTTCCGCTTAATATTCGTTACAATTTGTCTGATTCCACGACGTTTACGTCTCTCTCTCCCTCTCCCTCTCTCTCTCTCTCTCTCTCTCTCTCTCTCTCTCTCTCTCTCTCTCTTGATTTATTGAAATCAATAAATAAGAAATATTTCGGCGCATTGAGAAAATTTTCTGCTACGTTCCAGGGAGATTTTTAAATGAAAAGCGTAGGATTTTTAGCGTTCAATATTTACGATTAGTAGAGTTTCGATACGTAATTAACTTTGTCATTCGAATTGGAAACGAACGCAGTCTCGACGCTGTCTACAGATTGGACTTCGTTATCCGCCATGCAAATGAAACAGTATAATGTCCGTACTCGACTGTTTTTACGAAGCGGGGTTCCACGTATGCCAACCACAAATTAACCTGTGATTGATGTTGGAAGGCCAAGTACGTATTTCTTGCACAATGATGTGCGCGATTATTTGGATTGCATGTTGAAAAAGACGTAAGATCTTGACGCGTCGAGAAAAGAGACGAAGCTGACGAGCTGGAAAATGCAATTATAACACTGCAGGCATAATTATCGATTTACGTAAGTATTTACTCTTACCTTGTAAAAGTTATTTGATCGCATACGACCATGTATCGTTCACGATTCTTCGGGTACATGCAAGAACTGTTCGTGTACGAGGAATTTTAGCTTACTCCTGCTTTTGTCGATTCGAATCGGACGTGATCCAACTAGTCGATGTAAAAGTAAGTGCTTTCATAGTGTTTCCAAAATCGTTTCCATTTTTATTCCGTCCGTAAGATAATGTAACTTTGGTTAGTATATTATTTTTATTTTATTTATTATTATTTTATTTTATTTATTAGTATTTTATTTTATTTATTTTTCATTTTAAGTGTCTGCATCGTGTCTAATTAAAATTACACGTCTCGAGGACATTCTAAAACACCACTTGTGCTGAATTTCATTGAATTTCCGATAACCCTACATTCTTCAACGTAGCTTCCATTTTTAACTACAATCACGTATTTTTGTCGTAAATGCATAAAATCCGCGCTCCCGTTATGCGAGCACTAGATCACGAAAATATTCGGACACTTTTTAAACTTTAACAAATTCTAAATCACTGGACCGAATGATTTGCACTTCTTCAAACGACAGAGGATCTAGTTAACTATCAAACGATCGCCGAAAAAATTTGTGTAAAGATTAAAACTCGTTGATACGGCGAAAAGAAAAAATAAGAGAAGCTCATGTTTTCCAAACTTTCTTTCAGCGAACAATTTCATCTTAAACCATTGCATTTCGTGCTTACATGCGCGCTGAAAATTTCATCGAAATCGGTTAACGTTCTTATAAGATATAAACGACAAAATATTGCGAAAAATAGCAGATTTCCATTAGTTCGGTAGACCGAAGTTCTAATATTTTTGTGGCCGATTTTACGTATAAATCGTCACCGATAAGTCTCGGTAAGACTCCGCGTTCATTCTCGAAGCGTTCCAAACAAAGAAAACTGCGTAAGCCAGGAAACTTCAGGACATAAGGATTCAATGATTCCATCAATAGAATTCGCTCAAGACTTCTCTCACGCCGTTCTCTATACATACTTTGCTCCCAGTCTGCGCGATGAACGTGACTAAAACATCGCTTTGGCTGACCGAAACAAAACGAGCCATTGAAAGACGGGAACGTTTCGGTAAATACGTAAAGAAGCGGCAAACCATCGAGCACAAACAGCGAATTGACTCATCCTTCCGAAGTTCACACGTTCGGACGCGTGCAAACAGGCGGGTACACTCTTTTCACGGGTCACAAGTGCGTCTGTCTCGATTGCTTTTTACGAAGCGGCACCACCGTTTCGCCGTGGATTTAATCTAATTTAGCTAAATACGCCCTCTCTCTCTCTTTCTCTCTCTCTCTCTCTCTCTCTCTCTCTCTCTCTCTCTTCGCGGCGAACCGCTTCTTCGTCGGCGTCGAATGACTAAGCGTAGACGCGGCCGTTTAAATAATTGAAATAGCTAACATAACGAGATAAAACCGAGAAATTGTTAGCGGCTGTCAACGACGCTCGAGCGTGACAGACGACAATGTCATTGCCAGAGGATTCGCTGCGGCTGTTCAAATTCGTCGTGTCCGGGAAGTTGGTCCATTTAGCTCTTAACATTCTCGCGTTAACGCCGTTTATTGCGTAGGCGTAACGTAATACCTTCGCGTGGATCATTCTATCGGGCTCCACGTACATCTAAGTAGTTGATTCGACATTAGTCGACATCGCCAATTGCCAATTGTCGTCGTTTAATTATCGGTACCAATAAATTCGACGGTTCGGTCGCCGATCGCACGCGTTAATTGCTCGAAAAGTGATCGCGATACGAACGTGGGCTGTCGCGTACAAATTTCTTAATAATGCGACGATCTGTGCGCGACATTTCAATGGTTTTTTTCGTTTTGTATGATCTTTTTTATCGAGCAAGATCTGCCATTTTAGTGGGAAGGTGTTCATTTATCTTTGAGGCGAGATAGCAAAATAATGAAGAAATTGTTTTAGCATTTCTAATTGGTGGCATTCGAGAGATCTATGGTCAGATCATTAATAGCAAAATAACACTTGCTATCGTTTTATTATCTTTTTTAAGTGCACTCTGTTTCCTTCAAACATGGCGTTACTCCTATTATTAATGTTTTATTTAACGTCGTTTTCTCTTGACGTAATTAACGCTGTATAGTAAAAGTATTTGGTAGGAAGCTTACATATTTACAGCTTACACATTTAAAAAACAAAGAATAATCTAAATTTGCTGGCATTATGGTTTCAATAAAATGAGAATAACACGAACAAGGAGAAACATTCTTATTGTTCAATTAGTTGCAATGTCCCGATGCGGAAATAAAACGGCTGCACTTGTGTATAATATCGGCTTAATGACAGTTTTGCAAACGCACGCGTTTTTTGCAATGTCCGCACTTCCTTACTAGTTGAAATAATTGAGAAACGTAGCTGACTGCTTTCACTGTAAACAGACAGGTAATTTCTGGATTTTCTCTTCGATATCGTAGCACATATTTCGACTGGACATAGTGTACAACGAAAATAGCGAGCAATTCGTAATTGTTATTTAATAGCATGTTGCGAGACAGACTTTCATACTGTGCGGATAGAATCGTTTTGATACGAATTCTAAGTTACATGTAGATTACGGATGTTCATGCACGTTCACGCTTCTGTTTAACGAGGAATTAGGACAGTGGAGCCATTTATCGTGGGATAGCAAATTACGATGTAACAGACGGAAGTTCTTAAAATATCAGAAAAATTATTCCAATTTTTTGATACCGAATACCCGATATTTTCTATTATGAAAAAAGCAATGTTATTCGCATTGGTAAAACGTATCAGATTATGGAAAAACGAAACAATGATAATTTATCTGAATTCGTGTTTTCAGTTTCAATTTTTATAGTTTAAATTCGACGACAGAAACTTTGAAATTTACCATTAAGTTCTTAAGAAATGTCAATTAAATTGCTAAAGTGGTTTTCGATGGCGAAAACTCCTGATGTCCGCAAACGGGGCACAGTAATTGGCTTCTCTGTCATAATTGAAATTGAATTTTCCTCAGGAACGACAAACTTAAACAATCTAAAACTATTTACATGTGATTGATGGGAAGCATTAGATACGATTAATGAAAATTATTCGATATAACATGAGAATTATTAGATACGAATAGTTCGTACATCTCCTAGTAAATGTATATATAATTGCATAGTATAATAATGAAATGCTTAATCGTGTGAATTTACGCGGCGAACAGTTACTGTTCGCATTTTTTCTAGCAGGTGTTTTCCTCGTGACTGGAAATTACGAGTAAATAATCCGGACAAAATGAACACGTCATTTCGTTTGCTGCGTGACGTAGTTAGTTACATTAGCATTTTACGCCAACATCGATTGTCAATTTCTTAGGTCGCACAATCTCGGAGATGAAAGAAATGTACCTGTTTGCTTGCATGTTTAACGTATTGGAAGCCTCTGACGTAGAACTGTGTTTTTTTCGCAAGCTGGATCCTGCTCATCGTTGACGTAAAATTACGTCATTCCATGAGACTTTGAAAAGGGATAATAAAACTCCATCGTATTTCAGAATATTCTTCCAATTCTTGCTATCATTTTAAATAGTATTCGTGCACTTTTAAAACGATATGACTTTTCCAAAACTGGACTAAACGGCTTGAATTGTTTAGAAGCGATAGAGCGACCACTCCGTTTACTGTATAACGATTAAAATTTCTTTGATTACGATCACCTTCTTATCTGAGCCCATAACCAAAATTAAAAATTTCTTTTTTTATTTTTTATTAGATATTATCAGATATTGTCTCAGGCGATGAAAGATGTAAAAATCTCTAGATTTCTCACAGTTTCTGGTAACTCATAACAACGGCAACTGATTGCGATTCAATTTTTAGCATGCGTATAAGTTATACAGACATACGAAATGCATTGTTTAAATTTTCGTTATAAGCCCTGATAAAAAGGTTGAGACATTTTCACGCTTTTTTTGTCATTCCGAGTAATAGAAAAATTTAAAGAAAAGTATTTTAGTTATACAGTAATGTCTCCCTTACTGACGCTCAGATTGTCCATTAAAATGGATAATTTGGGAAGCGGAGATACGATTATTCGAGCCTTCCGGCTCGTTTTTATAATTGTGGACAATTTATAACTATAACAATAAACCGCAAGGCTCGAATAATCGTATCTCCTCTTCCCAAATTGTCCATTTTTGTGGTCGATCTGGGCGTCAATTAGAGAGACATTACTGTACTGTGATAATAAGTGAATATAATAAGGACAATTAAACGATAAATAATTAAATAGATAACAAGTGGATAGAATAATAGAAATAAATAATAAGTAGACTGCGGATTTTTATGGAAAACGTCGGTAGCAAGAAAGCAAAGCATAAACGACTATTTTCAATACATGTATTTATCACTATATTTTAGTCATACAGTAATGTCTCCCTTACTGACGCTCAGATTGTCCATTAAAATGGATAATTTGGGAAGCGGAGATACGATTATTCGAGCCTTTCGGCTCGTTTTTATAATTGTGGACAATTTATAACTATAACAATAAACCGCAAGGCTCGAATAATCGTATCTCCTCTTCTCAAATTGTCCATTTTTGTGGTCGATCTGGGCGTCAATTAGAGAGACATTACTGTACTGTGATAATAAGTGAATATAATAAGTACAATTAAACGATAAATAATTAAATAGATAACAAGTGGATAGAATAATAGAAATAAATAATAAGTAGACTGCGGATTTTTATGGAAAACGTCGGTAGCAAGAAAGCAAAGCATAAACGACTATTTTCAATACATGTATTTATCACTATATTTTAGTTATACAGTAATGTCTCCCTTACTGACGCTCAGATTGTCCACTAAAATGGATAATTTGGGAAGAGGAGATACGATAATTCGAGCCTTTCGGCTCGTTTTTATAATTGTGGACAATTTATAACTATAACAATAAACCGCAAGGCTCGAATAATCGTATCTCCTCTTCCCAAATTGTCCATTTTTGTGGTCGATCTGGGCGTCAATTAGAGAGACATTACTGTACTGTGATAATAAGTGAATATAATAAGTACAATTAAACGATAAATAATTAAATAGATAACAAGTGGATAGAATAATAGAAATAAATAATAAGTAGACTGCGGATTTTTATGGAAAACGTCGGTAGCAAGAAAGCAAAGCATAAACGACTATTTTCAATACATGTATTTATCACTATATTTTAGTTATACAGTAATGTCTCCCTTACTGACGCTCAGATTGTCCACTAAAATGGATAATTTGGGAAGAGGAGATACGATAATTCGAGCCTTTCGGCTCGTTTTTATAATTGTGGACAATTTATAACTATAACAATAAACCGCAAGGCTCGAATAATCGTATCTCCTCTTCCCAAATTATCCATTTTTGTGGTCGATCTGGGCGTCAATTAGAGAGACATTGCCGTAATACGGTAAACTAGATCGTCTAGCATCTCCGAAAAGTTCAAGTCATCCGGTCCAATTTTAAAAAAGCGATGCCGTCTTAAAAGTGAACGTATACATTTCGAAGCCAATCTATATCATCTATCGCAGATCATTTTCCTCTTTCATTTCATCCGTGTACGCTTCCTGCGGGAAAAACGCTGACTAACAGTGATGCAAACATTCTCTGCCCGGTCGAACTAGAGACAGGCTATTCACGCGCCGCGAGATGGCAAGCGACTTTCAAATTTTCAGTCGCACCAATGCGATAAAATGTGTCACGTTTGAACGTGTGAAGCGAAAGTCGAAGTCCTTGAGATATTGTTCTCGAAAGAAGCATTTTCTCGCGCGAGAGGCGCGCAGAAAATTTTTTTTGTGTGATGGAAATCCACGAATTAGTGTGAAGGTACAAATGATTCCCGCGAATGTGTTAGGTCGCCGAACGAATTAGTGCCGTAATTTCGGCGAGCGTCTTCCGTCGACACGGCGGATTTTAATTTCCAGCTGTGATATTGTAACGAAATGATCTCGCGCCACCGTCTTATATAATATTCGAGAGAGCAACGAAGCATCTGGAGCTATGTTGAGTAACTTTTCGAGTATTTTATCAATGAGAGAATGACGGACCACGCGTAACTCGCAAATTGGTCCGTGAAATTTACGAAGAAGTCGAGTGTTTCCCATGCGATCGCTCTACAACTGTGTGGACAGTTCTATCGAACAGTTCAGAAAAATGTTTACAGAAAAATG